TTTAGATAATTCAGTGTTATACTACATGGTGATCATATTCTAGATTTTTAAAACAGTTAAACTGAACAAAGCGAAAAACTTCCAACTTGCATTTACATTGGCAGTGACTTCTCTAAAAAGCACAGGATATTTTCAAGGTATCGTGTTCGTTAAGACCGATCATAGGTTAAACAATAAACATAAACCACAGGGCACTGGACAGCTATCTCTAATCCCTAATTAGGAATCCCGAATTGTTGTAGACTGTCAGCGGAATAGACACATCGAAATGAAACTAAATGGTGATGGTCAAACCATCTATCGTTTGATTGTGCATTTATTATGTAAAAATATACAACGAACTGACTGTCCCTTGAGTTTCGAATGGAATATATATATATATTTAGAAGCATATCGTCATTTCCCTCTGTTCTTTGCAATCTTTCCTAGTTGGTTCCACAGTTCCTTTTGATCTGTCATTTTATCACCACAGATGATCTTCTCCATATCACCTTCGGACCCACAACTAGCTTGTCATTTCCCCTTCGGGTTGCCTCAAGAACCTGGCATGTGATATCGATTGACAGTGTTCTTAGAGTATTTCTGATTAATTGATATAAGAGTAAAACTTGTGCTTTGTGGTAGAGTATAATTCCATTATGGGTTAAGTCTATTTTGATAAAGTCTCACAGTATTATACAGCAAGTAGTATTTACTGATGACGTTACGAACACAATTTATATTGCTGGTTAAAATCATATCGAGTTACTCACACAGCTTTCTGACTTCGTCTGCATAATTCTATTATTTTTCATCGCTTGACTTGATTAGTAGTAGTATTTTGCATATTTCCGATATGAGTGATCAGTCATTCCTATTGCACGTGTTGGGTGTAGACTCGGTGAGCAAGGATTCAGTAATCAACCTCTCTCTATCTTCACCTACCTGTATTGTTTTTTAGAATTTAAACTCTCCCCTTCCACCCTATTGTGTGGTTGTGTGTCAATGCATGCAGTGCGATGTAGTGCTGAGCTTTTTTCTAAATTACTTATCTTCCCGAGTGGGGTCAACCATTCTTACCTTAGCTAAATTCTTATGTTCTGACAATGTGACTACCCCTGACCTACTAGTTTGACCTATGTAGTTGACCTCACTCACAGTCATTGCAAGGTATTTTGTAAATTATATTATTTTGTCTAATTGGGTCAACAGGGTCCTTTAACCTACAGTTATACCACAGGGTTTCCTGTGGCCGATTGCCTCCAACCATCTAACATCATCAGAGTCGTATTTACACCGATTGCAGTCGCCAGCCCTACTCTCAACCTTTTCTGTACTGAACTTGCTGCCAGTTAAATGAGGTTTAAGAGTGCATCAGAGGGACATCAAGCCCAGACCTAATAGGTGGTCTTATATCGAACTGTTGATTGTTTCTACTACATCTTTATTTAAGCACACTGGTAGGTGTTTCTGAGTATGAAGATTTGGCGGTTGCTGTAGAAACTCAGTTTCTTATGCTAAGGAACGCTTACCAGTAGGGTTAAATGAAAGTTTGTTGTTAAAACCACAAATGGTTCGATATTAACCAGCTGGTTCAGATATGCCATAAAGCTAACATTGAAGAATCTTTTTCCATCTTCTCTCAGGTACCAAATAAATCGCAAAAACGCCATTAGATACCTAGTACGCCAATCACTAGAAGCCAATGCATTCGATTAAAATAATTTGAACTCTGTGTGCAGAAGCAGCAGGTTCAGCAAATATTGCTATCCTGGTCTCTAGTGGAACCTATAAATTCATAAATTCTACATCATCTTTTTCGAATTTATCTGATATAATGATATAATCATATAACGCTATATTCTTGTGAATATTATCGCATATGTATTCAAGAAAAAGGTTATCGAAAAGAATATTCTTTGTGCACGATCTCAGTCTATTGAAATTTTTAGTGCTAATTTTCAACCTTTTTATTGTTGCAGATTTGAATGACTACTTTTAACATTGCAAGTAGCAACGTGTTTATAGGACAATATTTCAAACTAAGTATTGTTAATGTGTTATTTGAAGCGATTAGACGTTTTCACATTTCAGAATGAAACATTGAAGTGATCTGATAGAAATGCAACTTTCATGAGTTGGTGCATTTACATTTCATTTCTTTAAAATTTGATCACCAATTGATATCAGTTAGAGAACCACTGAAAATCACTAAGGAGAACTGGACAGCTGTTTTGTCATATTTTGGGACTCGTAGGCAGTGCGAAGTCACCGGGTTTCGAGCCCAGGGCATGCCGGCTACAAGGCAAGCCCATTCGTCATTCAGCCATTGAGACTAACCCCAGTGGCCTACGAGTTATAACTTCCATCAATTCGTGATTTTACCGCCACCACCAACCAACGTCATTGGCGGGTATTTGTGGTCATTCCCGACTAGGTGGAACCTACTGGTCAAGATTTCTCACTGGAACTCCAGACAACTTCGTGCTGCAGCCAGTCACCGATGAGTCCCGAACCAGGACGAAACTTATGTTCATTGCCTTCTAGTTTTCAATGGTTTTTCTAACTGATATCAATCCGCTGTCAAACTTGAAAGATATGTAACCGTTTTAAGGCTCCTATTTGTCAAAATAGAAGTGGTGATACATTTCGGTTTGCTAGCCTCTGAGGCAACATGCGTCCGCTTGCGAAACGTGTCTGTGAAAAATACCCGACCTGACTAGCAAAAATAAAATGGAATTATGTCTTCGCTTTGATAATAACACAACATAAGGATACTCATTTCTATTTCAGGAATTCGTAAAAGTCTTATACAAAAGAACGAATTTGTCTGTGATTGTGATATCAAGACATCTAAGCATATCTTAGAAATTTGCCATCCAGAAGTTCAAGCCAACGATATCTGTTCCAAAACAAGTGCGTTTGACCTGTTTCCACTGCACGGTCATGATAACTGGTCTATTTTCCAAAGAAAATCATCACTATTATTTAATTATATTTATTACACGAACTTCCTAACTGTCATCCTATTCTAATCTATATTTATGTTATGTAGTTTTGTGGTTATTCGCCAGCTTTTAACCTCTAATCGGAAATAATTCGGAAAGTATCTCAGTCCTATATATGCATATCCGTTGAAAACTAAATAGTGTCGGAAAACAATTTCATCCTACTTTGCTATTCTTCATCAACGCATACCAACCACTCCATCAGGAGTTGAGGCCAGGACTTTCAGGTTATGAGGTTAGCCAGTTGAAATTTCAACCCTTAAGTTGGAATCTATTGGTAAAACTTTGAATTGCAGTGTTGTTATCCATATGTTTAGAGGTAATCGGCAAGGAGCTGCAATTCACGTAGGTTGCGTGCTTGCTGCCACTCACCAATCAGCAAGGCGTATCGGCAGTCTTAAAGAAACTCATGTCCCCTTTGAGATTCAAACTCGAGCCACTTAGTGCTGCAGTCAGAGACATGATCACTGAGCTATTCGGGCCCTTGGTTGACCACCTGTGGGACTGTGTTGGATGATTTGGCTGGACGACTTCTTTCAACCATCGAATGAAAGTAATTCTGAGTTCACCAATGACAGCAGGCCACGAACCATGGTGGCTACACTGCAGTGTTCACTGATAGAATTCAATCTGCATCAAACTACTTAGTGTCTTATCAAGGAACTGAATTATATATTCGTTGCTTATAAATCATGACTATACAATTTGTTGGTATTTCTTTTATATAAAGCTTAAAGGTATATGTAACGGTGAGATTCTCCGTCATATTTCCCAACCAAAAACGACCGCCCCAAATGATGAATAGGCCACATTGCCTTGTCATGAAAGTTTGCAAAAAAGGCAGTCAAGACAGGCTTTCAAGTGAGGATAACCAAACAAAAGGACAAAAAACATTGACCATCATCACTAGGGGAAATTTAAAGGTAATCACCTCTGATTCTGTTACCTGGCTAGACAGCAACACTTCATCTTAATGGTGATAAGAATGACGATGTCAAAGCCATCCAATTAGGACCAGGAAGGCATGACAGATATGCATTACTCTGAAGTAAACACAAGGGATGAAATCTGAATTTTCAACAATCATATCAAGTCAGCCAGCGCTTTCACATCATTCAGAGACTCGATGGGCGTTCCACTGAAAGCATTTGTATTAGCCAGAGTTGGACTTATATCAATATCTGAAGACCAGATGGCCTTCCAGAAAGGATAATCAACAAGGACCTCTGACAGTGAAGAAGTAAGTGGAGACGGATTAGACATACGATGATGAAATTCTCCATAAGAAGTCGAATAGGAAGTGGTCAGTTGATGCCAGGGAGACATGGAGGAGGTTATATGAAGAAAAAATAAATGCTGGTTGGTAGTCGTAGACTGAAGTGGAAGTCATATCAAGGATCCCACTACAATACAGATACACAGCTGAAAGAAGGGATAAATGCAAAAATAATGTATATAGACCTTGTGACTGTCGATGCTATTCGACCCTTTTCCTCCGAAAAAAAACACTTGGGGCCCAGGGAGGGAATAAATACTTACGCTTATCGTTGAATGAATACTTTGAGCCGATTTCACTCTACGTAGATTCTCATTTTGATGTTCCTGATGTTGATGATCAACAAACGGTGTTGGTACATCAGTTTTTATTTCTACAACTTTTAATTTTGATTGTTTTAATCGACGATAATTTTCTTGTTCACATTTTAATTTATAATCTAATGATGATATTTCTGATGTCTGACTACTTTCATCCACTGAAGTAATACCTATTGGTGAATACATTGACAAGGTTTGATTCCTTTGATGTACAGATGATCCTGATAGACGATTATTTGTATTATTATTATTATTGTTATTGATCGGTATACATTCATCGGATGCTGAAATATTAGGTGGTGACTCGACAAAAGGTTCAAACATTGAAACATGCCTTCCATTATTATTACTGCTATTACCGCTTTCCAGCATTATTCCATAATCCGGCTTATTCAATCTTTCGTCTTTTTTCAACATATCCTCTAAAATCCGAATCATTTGTTTTTGTCCTTTAGTTGATTCTTTCACTAATCTACAAGCGGTTTGACGTTCTATCGTTTGTGTTGCAGCTAACCGTTTCAACTTCTCTTCACATTGTTTATTACGTAGATTTAATTCGTGTGTATGCAGTTGAATTAACCATTTTCTTTGTATATCATAATAAGTTTTAGTTTGGAATCGAGTTAAATTTCCCAATGACATAATACGACGTTGTTTTAATTCACCAAGATTGTTTAAGTAGGCTAAATTTAAAACGAAAAGAAAGATACAAAATGGAAGAAAACACAAAAATAAATTAAGTAATTTAGAGGATGGAAACTAATTTAAAAATGGAGGGATTGTTGTTGGGCAACTCTAAGCAATAGGAACCCAAAACGAAACGACCTACGAACGCACAAATGACCTTGAGCAACCGATCAGGTGGCTGTTTTTTCCAGCAATAGGTTTTGCGGATATATGACACCAGCCTCCAGAAAGGACATATTTAGGCAACCCCCAAAGCACAGGGCGTGTGTATTATTGCCTATTATCTAGAGTTTAGTGCTGCCTGGGATGACTATTGTCGTTTTTTGAGCTTTCTGATTGGTCCTTGAGTAGGTCATTTGTGCGTTCGTAGGTCGTTTCGTTTTGGGTTTCTATTGTTTAGAGTTGCCTGTTGTTGAAATCTTAGCGTAGTATTTGTCAACTAACTTGATGTCTAGCATAGATGTCATGACTGGCTATCCATCAAAAGATCTGTGTACTATTCAGCAGTTTGATCGGCTTTCCTTTATGGCTGTGAAACGTGGCCAGTGAAAGCAGAAAATATGAAAAGGCTAGTTGCCTTCGACCATAGATGTTTGCATTCTGCCTCTCTCCCTCTCTCTCGTCTGAAGTGTCAAAATATTGTGAGTAAAATGTTAGGTAGCTGGTGAGACTGTGAGGCTAGGATACGTGTTAGGCATATTGAATCACCACTTTCCTTGTTGAATAATGTTAGCTTGTGGCGTGTGGCGTATGTCAAGAGATGTTCATTGGTAGAAAATATCAAACAGCGGAAAGATAGATTTGGTATCATGGGAGGTACCACGAGAAGACAAAGAAACACAATACGAAGGGCAGAAGTAGCACAACATCGAAGATCTACACACAATTTCTTTATATGTGTATCTTAATTAGCAACTAAACACTTCGTTACCAAATCTCCTGTCTCTTCCAGTTACAAGCTGACATATAATTATGTTTGAAAATGTTAAGGAATGGTCAGATAAAAACCTGGCATTAATCTATTCCCACGCATTAAGCTTCGTTGAGTTTTCCTCCTTTATCTCTACCTCTTAGTGGGATGCTGCCAGCTGAAATGCTCCGTGTCTATGCAGAGTTCTCTGTTGGAATCCAGTCAGTATGTCATTAAGTCAAGCCCATAACTTGAACACCACTTTGAATAGTCTATCTTCACACCTTGCTGTTACTCACTTTTTTTGCTTCCAGCCTTAGACCGAATTAAGTAGTCTAGAGAAAATCCTGGCCATCGTTAAGCGCACACTTACATGTAATCATACACTAGGGTACAATAGGGTGAATATATTAAAAAGCAGTATAATTAGGTGTTAAAATAGAGATATAGAGAGAGGTTATTCACCGACTTAATATTCATTGAACCAACATCCAACAAATACAACTGAAATGACGTAACATTTACACCGGATACATGGAAAATTGATTTTAAAAACAACTCTGTATGACTATGAACAATGAATGGTGCTTAAAACGTTAGCACACTCACTGTGTTATAATGTGAAATAAACTTATCTTATCTACTACTCCCAGTCGCCAGTGCATCAATGACACAGTGGCTAGGACGCTTGCCGACTATGCACATGGTCTGGGTTTGATTCCCGGCAAACCCACTCCTTTACCTCGCTAAGCCAGAAATAAGGCTGGTAAAGAGGAAAGGTTGGGCATGAGGTTATCAAACCCATACTGTAAAAATAAACACTGCTACAGAAACTTCAAGCCTCTAGCTTGAAGCCCTGTGTTCCACTGGGAACGTGAAGGAATAAAAATAAAAAATCTACTGCAGTGCTCACATTCTACTCTTATATCCTCAAAACCAGAAATTGTTTGTACGACACCAAAAATATATACATTAGAAGGGAAGTATTACAATGAAACAAGGAAGATTTGAAGGAATGTAATGATTTTTATGGTTTGGGATCGCTAGATTCACTCCCAAACTTCTCTTTCTTCTAGATTTACAACAAATGGCTAGTTAAGAGAAGGTGAGGTTCAAGAGTACATCTTCTGTGAGTCAAACTCAGTCTTCTGAGGTTACTGGTGGGCATTCTACTGAAGCACTTATGAATGAGATTCGAATGTTTCTTTTTTAATTCCTATTTTTACAAACATTTATATTACGTTTAGAAATTGCACTGTCAAACCTCAGTATAACTGCTTTTAGTTGAGTTTTCTTTAAACGTCTGACTGGTGTTTTATCCGCCTTTTTCCTACATAAATTCCTATATAATAATAATTTAGTTTACAGATTATTCGGTGGTATTCATCATATTTAACGCAATCTTCGATAACTTTGAAAGAGTAACGCGAAAACACATCGGGTGATTAAACTTTTCTGAATTGGGGAAAATAATAAAGAGCTCAACATTGAGATGTTTTGGGGCGTTTTCACCCTCCTCAAATTTCTCTTGGTTACTATGTTTAGTTGGGATAATAATTGTAAGATTGCAAATTTATGTACAAAGGTGAGTTTGTACAGCTTTTGAGAATGAGTTTCTTGTTCTCACGATTTTTCAGTGCTAGACTGCCGGTGGCGAACTAATATCACAGACTATTCTGAGATGGTTTTGTAAGCAATTACAAATATCTTACATTCTAATGAACCAATCAGAATTTAGCATTTTTTGACCAATACAAATTCTAGTATTGTTAGTGTCAAGGATATGTAAAGCGTCATGACTTTCCTAAAGAATAATCGAACTTATTTAAACCAAAAAACTGGTCTTGTGTGACATAGTTATAGATTCACTAGAAGTTATCAAGGTAAACTGGACAGCTGTTTCGTCCTAGTCTAGGACTTTTCATCAGCTCACCCCTACAACGCCAGAAGGGATCAAACCAAGGACCTTCAGGTTACGAAGTCAAGTTTGTTGACCATTCAGGAAATCTAATGATATATAACGCTACGCTAAAGGAATACCTTAGATGAGCATCCACTTCATCTTGACATAGTGAAACATGTTGGTCACGACTTCTCAATACAGCCTTAAGATATCTATCTATTAGTTATAACTGTGTTGCAAATTGATATTTAGACTGTCGGCTTTTCGTAGGGATTTAGATTATTCTATGCAGAAATTAATCCAAATCGGAGTTGAAGTGGGTCTGTTATTAAGTTCACACACAAGTTCTAGTTATTAGGCTAATCTAAACTTTCCTAACCAATCTTGTCAGGTGGCAGTATTTACATATCATTACACTAGTGAATCAGTTTCATTAGTCAACCACCAATTATTATTATTATTCTCTTGGGTTCCGAGTGTAATATAGTGTTTCAACAGCATATCTCTACTTCACCTTGTTCTGTGATGTCTTTTTTATCTAGCTTCCCTACCGCTGATAAGCTCTCATCTGCTCCATGTCACCCTTAGATCTGAGGCCATCTCGTTTTTGCCCATTTGGATCCCACTCGAGGGCCTATGTGGCGTTTGGTATCTGTCGCTCAACAGTCTTCCCAATGTGTGTCCACATTATCTCCATTTTCTTATCGACATTTGCTGCGCGATAATTTCTTGCTGGGTGTGCTTCTCTGTCAACATTCCCTGTTGCTAACCCCTTCCGGCTGGTCAGCGAAGGTAGCTGTTTATTAAGTCTGGATCTAGATAATGGAAGTGTTTTTCGTCATGCTGCATGTCTCTGATTCATAAAGTAGCCTTGAATTGTCATCACTGTTAAAAAATTTGGATCTTTTTCTTTATTCTGAGAACAGAGGATTTTGAGACTGACGTCAGTGTAGTGACAAACAGTGGGCAATGAGGAAACAGGCATAAAATGGACTCACACAAAAAACTTGGAGGATCTGGACTTCACCGATGATATATGTCCGATTTCCCAGAAACTGGAAGATATGCAAGCGAAAAGCAACAAGTTGGCAGAAGAAGCATCAAAGATAGGACTTCAGGTGAACATAGAGAAAATAGAGGTAATCAAGATTCCTGGACAAGAACAACAACAACAAACAATGATCAGCATAAATGGGAGGGACATGAAAGAAACAACCTCCTTTACCTACCTGGGAAGCATCGTTACAACTACAGGTGGATGGAACTGATGAGGATATCAAAGGAAGAATCGGAAAAGCAAGACAAGCTTTCACTACTCTCAAGTCTGTGTGGAGGTCAACAGCACTGCTCAGCATCAAAAATAAGATCCGGAATTTCAACTCCAATGTGAAGTCAGTGCTACTATACGGATCAGAGACTTGCACTGCGCGTCATAATGAGCATCTCAAACAAACTACAGACCTTCATTAACAGTTGTCTTCGCTCAATACTCAAGATCAGATGGCCGGTTAGAAAAGATCAGCAACAGAGATCTCTGGGAGCTAACCAACCAGGAACCGATTGTGCAACAAATAGACAAGAAGAAATGGAGATGGATTGGCTGACCATAATCTGAGGAAACCATCAAGTGACATCACTAGACAAGCCATTACTCGAGAGGAACCCGAAAGGGAAGCGGAGAGTTGGTCGTCAGTGCAAGGGTGACTTGGAGGAGGTCATGTGAAGAGGAGATGAAAACGTGTGAGCAGACATGGGGCCAGGTGAAAACTCTAGCAGAGAACCGAACGCAATGGAGACGCACAGCTGAAGCCCTATGTTCCTCTAGGAATTAAAGGATACAATAATAATAATAATAATCAGTGTAGTGAAGGTGTGTTTCGCTTCTCCGAGATTCTACCTTTGACATCCTCATCTGTGCCGCTTGTAGCTAAAATGATACTGCTTCAGTTACCCTGTTGAAATTTCTCTCATTGATAGGGAATGGTGCTTGTCGTTGTTGGTTGCCGGCTATCCTGATTATCTCTATATTCTCTCAACCCACTTGAAGTACTGTCTTCACTGCTTGTCTCTTTAGCCAACTTGTTGATTTTAGCCTGTAGGTTTGTGAGTGTGTGTGTGTGACAACAGACATAAATCATACCAGAAGCCTAGATATTCTGGAGTCTCCTTGCTGGCCCAATGTG